GATATCACGGTTTGGTTTACTCACAATCTTCATAAACTTAATGGCAAAAAGCCCCCAAAATTTATTCTAACAGGAACCAAATCAAAACTTATTTTCATCTTCGTATTATTAACCGCCTTCGACCTTCACTCACTCCAAACAGTACTGCCATACTTGCCAATGCTCGTCACATTTTGCTTAGATTACTGTAATTCTCCTCTCTATGGTCTACCTCATAAATCTCTCCTTAAACTGCAGCTGCATGTATTATTTTCAGAATTAGACTTAAACAACTCCGTGTCAATTTCAAGATCCTGCTTCTTACTTTCAAAGCGCTTCATAACCTCGCTCCTCCATATCTATCTGATCTTCTCCATACGCACTCACCACTTCGTACACTCTGCTCTTCTTTAGCTTCCCTTCCATCTGTTCACCTGACTACCATGGGAGTCAGAGCCTTTAGTTACTCTGCCCCGAGACTTTGGAACGCACTTCCACCAGACCACCAGACTACAAACTCTCTACTTTTCAATCACGTCTTAAAACCCATCCATTAAAACCCTTCATGATGATTCCGTCTTAGTCTCTTTTTACCTTGTTGAGCTTTTATACTTTCATACAATTTTTATTTTTCCATTTACCTCATGTTTTTATTTTGTTGCACTAATGTAAGGTGACTTTGAGGGTCTTTAAAGGCACCTATAAATAAAATGCATTATTATTATTATTATTACTACATTCCTTACATTAAGATCTAAATTATCTAAAATGATTGCTTTTTTATGCAGAAGGATTTGTGAAGCTATTATGAAGTGCTGCATATACTAGTGTGGAGCAAATAATGATTGTGTGAAAAAATGTAGAGCAAAGGGAGAAAAACAACACAGAATAAATACACTTACACAGAAGAGTATCAGAATAAATGCTTGGTAGGAAAAGAATGAGTGAAAGAACAAACAAAAGGAAGAGGTGAGCAGGCTAACACAGAGACACCCACGGGCACAGAAATGTGCTTTTCAAACCAGCCCACAGGAGAGAAACTTGACTACTCACCACCATGTTATAGGCTTCAGGGACATCTATTTCAAATTGAAACCTTCCACTTTGGTAGTAACCCTCATCTGGAAAGAGGATGACAAGAAAGGAGATTTTCAGTCATCTACATGAATACTGATTCTTGGTAGGAGATCACATTCATTCAGTGTTGGTGATTAGGACTTAAAAAATAAAACAACAATAGAAGTATTTGAATTCAGAAAGACTTCAGTAAAAATGACCTTGAAAACAAGAACTTTAGCAAACACGTGACAAGAGCTGCGCCACATCCCACTGTCCACGATAATAAGAGTATCAGTTTTATGTGACATTTTGTGGCATCAGTGATATGGTGACACAGCAATGACACAAGTCCAAATATGTCTGACAGCGAGAGCCATGTACCAGCTAGTATCAGCTGTGCAGTACTGCAGATTTTGCTATAGATTTGATACCAAGTGTTGCTGATACAAACACAGACAGTACTTAAACTACCGATAAAGTCAGCTTACGTAGGGGAGAGCAGTGTGTCGTTATAAGATGAATCGGTTTGTAATTTCTGAACACATTTTAATGACCACTAAATAACTGATTTGTACTGCTCACAACAATTAGTTAACACAAGTCACACCTTTCACCTTTATTATGCTAAAGATGGGGAAGTCATAGGTGTTTGACAAAAAAGTTATTTAGCATAATTCATTCATTCAGTAACAAAGTATCAATCATGTTGTGGTACTATTGATCCTGCACTGGTATTGATACTATCGATATTTAGACTGATCTGTCCACCTCTGGTATCGGCCTACAACACAAAGTACAACACTTTACAGAAAACTGTTCCAGCTGCATCCCCCCCCCCCCACCAGGTTATGAAGGAATGTGAGAAGAACCAGATGCTAACAGCTGGCGATGTGCAACCCAAACATAAACAAAAAACCCCACCGAGCATCACTAGCAGCGCTCCATATGCCAGGAAAAGCAAACAGACAGAGAATCCTGATAGAAAAAAAAAAAGAAGAGGGCCTTCAGTACCTGTTTGAAAAGATTGACCAACAGCCCAGGTAGAAAATATTTTTCAATTTCTATTTCAATATGTGAGAATATTGTGCAGCAGCTCTTGCAGAGACTAAGGTTAAGATAGGTAAGGTATTGTTAAGCGATTATTTTATAATTTTACTTCAAATTCCCAGGGATAACACTACCCAGATTACCGTGCTTACACTTGACTGATGCTGTGTCAGTAGTATTGGACTTTAATGTTGCTCCACCTTGATAATGTCATTCTTCACATTAGACTCTGTCATCAGTGACAGGAGCTCATTGGAAAAGAAAGATGGAAATTCCCTTCATTCTATCTGCACTAATAAATGCAGCTAAATGCAAGCTGCCATCACTAATAAATCACTCAGTATTTTTCTCCTAGACCATTAGAAATATTATTATCACATGTTTCCTTGAAATGGTGAGATATAATTTTGATTCTCTCTCACAGGCCCACACTTAACATGACAATGTTTGCATTTAACAGTCGCATTAAATGGTTGGAGCTAACAGAAAACCATTCTTCCAAAAATACATCCTTTCTTTGGTGTTTTGATGATCTTAAGAATTCTGCCTGACACACCAGCCTAAAATCTCGTTAACCTTTAACTGGCAGATTTGAAACATGAAGATATAGCAAACAATCCATGCCATTATCATCAAACCACTGCCTGACCTCTGATGCCCTGGAGACGGGAGAACCATCTTTGTGATAAAAAAAGATTTAAAAAGGACAGTTATCATTGATGGAAATGTTTCATCATAGGATAAAGGTGATCACCCAGGGCAACTCTGTATCGATTTGCTGTGACCTCTTCTCTCTGAAGAGACAAGTGGAAACTAAAACATGGCAGCAAAATACCATCAGCAGATCCCATCACTGTAGGGGCCAAACATGCTGGACCACAGTGAAGGATGACGTATTTGACCACATCTCCTTTCCCCACATCTCCACTGAGGAGTAAACTCTTACATGTGCATTTGTCTTTGTAATGAGGCGTTTATGCATTGCAGCTTTATTAAATATCCTTCTCTATTTAACTCTTGATGGCTAGTTTTGCTGAAGCGTACTGCACTGACCTCAACACATCACACAGATGCAGTGTACATGTGATCACAGTGACAAACCACAATTTCTGACATCAATTAGGTACAGTCATCAAAAAAATAGGAGTTGGTTCACATTTACTGACATCCTTCCTGTAAATCTAAATACAGAGGCCTCTGCGGTCACAGCTGCTAATGGAAAAACTATCCAGCTGAGTAGTTTTTATGACTGAAGCTCATTTCAACCATGCCCTTACAATGAACCCTCGTTCAAAGTCGCTTAGGTCATCCTCATACTGGGCACGCCAGCTTTAGCAGTGGAAACACATGAATGCCTCCACGCCCCCCTGGACTGCACTCACGCTGTGTTTAACATTCCAGGTCCACTTTTGCTTTAGTTTGGCTCTTTCACCTCCAATGTTTCACTCCACTGCTCTTCTTCCCCATATGTCTTTATCTCACACTTAAAGGAGCAGCTGAACCTTCCCTTCTCTAACCACACAATGTGAGTTTCTTGTATTAATCTTGTTTGATGTACTTTTTGGCTCATTTGTGTCCATTACTGTCCACTCATACTTTTTTTAGCCTTGTTACTATTTAATGCGCTGGCTCTGTAGCGGTGTTACATGGACTAATTATTGAATGTGATCTTTTTCATTGTGTTTTTTTGCAGATTATGTGACTAGCCCAATGCAGTACACTGCTAATGAGGTCACACTTCAAGAATAAGTTCAAATCTGCTCATATTTCTGGCTTGGTGCATCTTTTTTTTGGGTGGGGGGGGGTCTAAGTTCTCTGTGAAAGGACCCCTGCAGTCTCAGTGCAAGTCGACGTGAGGGTTGTTTCTGCATAGAATCAGCACCAAGATCAATCCATGTGTGACAGTGGAGTAAATGAGTGGCCCAGCTGGAGCATTTCAATCTTGGGGATAATCTCAGATCATTTGATTGCATTCTGCAGGTTAAACACCAATTTCACCTTTTTTCTTGGAATAACCAATTACTGTGAAATATAGTTACGCTACATGCAGGGAGGTATACGGTGGGGAAAGTTTTTGGTCCAGTTTTCCACACACTCTCACGTCCTCATGTAGCCTTCAAAGCTCATTAAAGGCTTGTTCAGACATAGGGTCTGTTTAAAGGGTCTTTAATTAGCCGGATGACATTTACATTTCTGCTCTCACCTTATGGGGCCAGATGCTTTGAAAAGGATAGGCACTAAATATGGTACCATCACGGATCACAGGAGAAAAAAAATGAAGAGACATGGGTCAGATTCAAAGTTTAAAAAAAAAAAAGAAAGAAAGAAAAAGGAAAAAGATAAAAGGAAAAAAAAAGAGAAATGGCTACTGAGCCTGTCACAAAGGTGGACTTGTCACTCCTGACAACCCGCTGAAATTAAGGTAAGAGAGACAAGGGATGGGAAAAAAAACCCTTGGTAACTGACCATTAAATGATCCGTGTGTGTCCGTGTGTGTGTACTCAAGATTTTCTGATATCGTGGATCAGCTCCACTGTAATACAATTAGAGATGTTCCAGAAACGTAATCAGCAATAATTTTCCTTTCCAATGCAATTCTAACAAAGAGAGATCTGAAATATACTCCCTAAAAATCAGTCTTGGCTTAGTATAGTCAACATGAGTCTGGCTTTATTTCCAGAGTTTTTATCACTTGTTTCTATTCAAACATTATTACATTGTTACATTCTATTCAATGTAACAATGTAACAATGCGGTGCGATTTCATTAGACGGCAAACAACCTCCTCTGTATTTTAAAAGCTAAAAGGCACACACAGAGAAACTGACTATAGAGAAACGCAGCTTCAACATTAGCAAGAAGGAATAAAGAAAGAAAAAGCTAAGGAATCAAAACCAACAAGGCAAAGTAACAAAATGATTTTTTTACAAAGCCTCCCATAAAAAGAAGAGGAGTAAGAATATGATAGTCAGTATTTTTTTCTAACAGCTGCAGTCAGAGCTCATAAATAATTCATGACTGTCTCCAGTACACAGGAACAATCAGTATTTGTTGTGACTAAACACTTCTCATGAACACTAAAACAAATAATCTCACAACTGAACTCCAAATTTCTGTAAACCATGATTATCACATGATTTAACATAATTATGTATATTGCTTATTGCCTGTTTAGGGCACTGAGAAGATTGCTTTCTTCCTACGTCAAGAAACAGCTTAACATTTAAATAAGGGATACAAAGCTCAGCCCTTCATCATGGTCGGTCTGCTTTGCCCTTCACACAGAGTATCCTACTCAATACAAATATTCAACCCTTATTGGGATCAACAGCCTCTGACTCGCCGATTGCAGCATAAAATTTATTGCCCAACCCGGATGAATTATTGTATTTGTGATTTCCCCCTAAGAAAGCCGCCGGGGGAAAAAGGAACCCGGCCGGGCAAGGCCGCGGTTAAAAAAAAATAACCGTTAAACGAAAAGCAATTTAAAAAAGAAAAAAAAAACGAACAACCAAAAGGTGAAAAACCGAAAAAAAAAAAAAAAGGAAAAATAAATATAGTAATAAGAATGAGACTATGACTCAAAATATGCTGAAAAGCAGAGCGACACTTTGCGATACCAAACTATAGATGGTTCTGGCGCCACTTAAAGCTGTGCACAAGCTGGACATCACTGAACTTCTGATGAGTATGCAGCTGCTGTAGCTTCCTTATGGTCATGTCTCAGCAGGAAAAAAAACAACAGTTGTTTACTCTACAGCACCTCTCGCTGTTCTCTTAGCCAGAACTTTTGTTCTCCATGTTTATCAGTCTAATAACTTCACAGCAGGAAGGAACAAACACTGGCAAGCATCTTAATAACCAAAAATCAAAAAGCAGAAAGTATTTAACCCAAACAGAAAACACAAAAAGCACAAAAACCCAACTGTGGTGATTCTGAGGCTAAATCTGAAGACGTGGCTGCAACAAACAGTCAGTGAAGTTAGCAAAGAATTAGAAAAGCATAATAAATGTTTGAAATTGACTTTGTATCAAGATCGTGCCCTTTTACTTTATTCAAACTTTAGTCACACTTCCAGGCTTGCTCATACACTTTGTACGCAGCAACAATGGGCATTACAATACTGTAATTATGCTTCCACGCAGCACAAAGACAAGGCGATTGGTACATCAATTTTCTTTCATCATTGTAGTTCCAATAATAACAACAGTGACACGTAAGAATGTGTTCACCCCGTCGTGTTGCTGGTGTCCCCATTCCTCAGAGACTGAGGGGTCTAAGAGCACGGGGTCACAGCACAGAGTGTTTCATGGGAAAAGAAACAAAAGTACAGAGACATTCCAACTAAATAACAACAGACCTAACTAATGTGTTGTCTACCACCTGCCTTGTTTCAATTAGATCTGGGAAGCCAATCCAGCACCAGCTAGGTTTCCTTTGATGAGTATTCATGTGTTCTTAATTTGGTTTTGTGTCGTTTACTTTGTGTGATATGTATGAGATGATTTGAGCTGCTCAAAAAATGTTTTTACAAGTAATTGTTTTACTAGAAATATGAGAAAGAACAGTGAAATTTATGTAGTTGAATCAATATTTACTTTCAATAGTAATACAGCTTAATTCCCGTAATGACCTACAGATCTATTATATGTGACTGTCAAGGACTTTATCTGAAAGGTGATTTTCTGATGTTTTGCACTGCTGATTTAAAACTAATTACAGATAAAGGTTAGATCTTTACAAATAATCTCCTTTTCAGAGGACTCACAAAGCTCTATTCATTAAAACATTCCCACTACAGGATTATGCCTGAAGTTATTAGTATCAGTGCAGCAGCATTTCCTCACCATGGGTGAGCAAAGTGAATCAAGCTTTTTGTGAACAAAACGCCAACAAGAGGTCCTTTTTTCTCTTTAAATCACACCATTTAACACATTTAAATATATAAAAGTAATATTTTCAAAAGCCATCTGAGTCAAACTGCCAGGTTAGTTTGTGCCACCACTGCATGTCATCAACTTTCATCTCCTCTCTCTCTCTCTCACACACTTTTATCTTGTCCTTGGTCTCTATGCTTTTCCTTTCTTTTCTCTTTCCCCATCAGCCTCCAACCAGTCATGCCAGATGGCTTTTAAAACAAACAATCAAGATGTGATTGAAGTCAAACATCCAGGGGCTTAACAAAAGTATTGTATTAGCTATTTAGAAATAAGAGCCATTTTTGTACATAGTTCCCTGTTGTCAGGGGCTCAAAAGTAATTGGACAATTCTATGACGAGCAGTTTCACAATGAGGTGAGGGCAGCTACCTCGTTATTTTATGACAAGTTAAGCCAGCTGTGGAGTTGTGGGTGTTGCATTCGGGATCTTTTCACTGCAACTCAAACAGTCGAAAGAGTTGTCAATAAAACTAAAATATAATAAAATAAAAAGTAATTAACCTGTCAAGAAAATTGCAAATATTTCATGAAACCTAGACAAGTCAATGAGACTCTCAAAGAGGTCGGGCTTATCCAGATTGACAGGGAGATAAATGTAAGGAGAAGGAGAGCGCTCTGAAGCATCACATCAAACATGGTGGCATCAATGTTATGGTATAGGCATGTATGGCTGCGATTAGAGTTAACTGATGATGTGAGCACTTTCAGAAACAGAAGGATGAATTCTGGAGTGCACGGGGCTCCACTTTCTGCTCATATTCAGATAAATGCTCCAATGATGTTTAACAGTGCAATTTGAACCAAATGACTAAGATTCAAAATCTATGAGGGACAGTACACAGAGTCAAAACTACAAATGTTGTGTCATTGCTTAAATACTTGACTGATATATATATTTTTTACTTTCTTTACAGGTTGATCAAATCAGAGAGTTGACTTTAAAATGAAGAGCCACAGAGCCCAAGATGCACGGCCTTTGAGTCCAACATTTAAATGAATACAGAATTCAGAAATATTTTTTCCTAATATTCCACATTTGATACAAAAAGTGATTGTTCTGAAGGTAGCAGAATATGCTCAATGTATTCATGCATTTCTAACCAAAGCAGTGAGTTTTATAGAACAACATTTTAACCCTTGTAGCATAAAAACTGTTCCAGAGTAAACGGTGCCACGGTCTATGAGAAACATAGAGAACAAGAGAAGAAAATACGAAAGAACATGAGGAAAAAAGCAAAAAAGAAAAACAAAGGATCGCTTAGCCTAGAGCTAAAAATGCTCTACATAACAAGTCAAGCTGATTTTACCTTACGCTGCTAAGAGATATTAGACAGCCTGCATCCGGAGGCAAGTTCCTCTTGCATTTGATTTTTCATTTTCCTGCCTGACTACAATTACCTTCCCTGAAGCACAAATTAAAGATGCTTCATGGGTAACGTCAGCTTTTTACACTGCCTTTCTTAAAGGAAAAATCTAACAATGGAAATAAGACAAATATTCATACAGCTTTGCCAGAAACACACCTGTAACATGACACGTCTTTATAAATCCACTATTTATTCATTTATTAATTTGAAAAGCTTGATGCTACTCTTTTAGTAACCAAACTCACACAAATTATAATATCATCCTTTAACATGCATTATAGAGAAATGTACTCCTGTAATCGTGCCTGTGCTTAAATGCTTTTAGATTTGGCTATTAGTATTTTGTGTTTTGACGAGAGGCAATATTTTGTTTGTTCTCACAGATGAAATACAAACGACCAACAAATGATCAGGGCTGTTGTCTTAAACACCACATTGGTTACAATGTATGAGCCGCACAGGAGGAGGGAAAAGGAAGATTAAACAAAGACAGAAAACAGAAATGGCAAAGGGGAGCATGTGATAGCCGAGCGCGGTGCGGGTGGAGCCGAGGTGGTGCACGCCAGGAGAGACAAATGTTTTGAATAATTGAGCAAGCCTTTTCTGAGAACTCAGTCTCCTTATCAACTCCTCTTAGAATAACATGACACCAAAGCTTTCCTCTAATTGCTGATCTTTGCTTTTCTCTGCAGATATTGCTTACAAAGGCCTCTGTGAACGTTAACCTGAACGTTACAGTGCACACTGCAGTGGAGGAGAGAATCACGAGACACAATTACACTTTTACACAACGCACACATTTATTACAGGATGAGACAGCTTAAAAATTTCAAATTAATTCATTTCTAAATACCCGACCTGACAAAAACAAAAAAAACAAAAACCTAAACAATTAATTCCATTGTAAAAAAAAGAAAAAAGAAAAAAAGTTTAAATATTGATCAGTTCCTAAAGTTAAATATCAGAGTTCTCTAAAGTCATGTTTAAGCTTAAAACTGCTACTAACAAACTAAATTCAAATGCTTTCGATTAGACCAAATCGCACCAATATTTTTTTTTTAACTTTATTTGTCCCTCCAATTTATTCTATTAGTCTGTGATTGCTGCAATAAATGTATTTTATCTAAGGAATAATGTACGAATGGTGAATGAAAAAGATAAAAAGCCTTGTCATATGAAAAAACTAATTTAGCATAAACTTAACCCCCCCCATGTTACTAAAACTATACAGGTAGGAGTAAGACCTTTGATGCACAGATGCTTGGTGGATTCAGAACCCATTGTTGCCATGTTTTGATGCACTGAGGTGTCATTTTTAAGAATACAAGGAACAACGTGCAGTCTTGCGGTCATCAATGTTATAATCATCTTATTAATTTCTATAAAGAGTTCTTTGAGATGCTGCAGTGGTGTCACTCATGCAAAGATTTGTGTTACCATGTATTTGTCAAGTTGCAAATGTGGACGAAGCCTTGCTCACAAAAACCATCAGAAATGAATTCAAACTTTTCCAAAACAACTTCCAAACCGAGACCATCCTTCATGCACATGACCTCAGTCCACTCATTCCCGAGCCGTACACCCGCCAGCTTTGAAGTGGACTGGATGAGTAGTTGTTGGGAAATGTGAAAACATAATAAGACATCTTCCTTAAATTATTAGCTAGATGAAATATTCTACAAATATTTAAATTATATATATATATATATAACCGCTCTGTTTCTTTGCTTCTCTCCTTCTATTGCGCCAACATGACTGAGATTTCTCTCAGTCTATGGATTGGCATGTTTACTGATGAAAATGAAGACAAATTGCTGCATGAGGAGAATGATGAGGAGAAACTGGGTTTGGGCTGGAAGAAAGTTTGTGTGTCATGGAGAGGAAGCAGGAAGTGGGACGCATAAGAGCCTCCGGAGACTTAGGTAACCCCACACCACTATGTTTGGTTTGTACAATATTCGACAGGTAGCCCACTGAGCTTGAAACAATGCTGATTAAGCACAACTGCCTTGGGGAGTGAAGACAGTGCAGCAGTAATGTGAAAGTACAGAGAATGCTTAAGTGCCTTTCAAAGGGAATACTTTAGGACACACAGAGATTGAGAAACAAATTGCAAACACTTGCAGTCTCCTCTCCTTCACACTAAACCACCTGAACCCAACAACGTCCCTGTCAGAGCTTCTTTTACTACACCAGTTCATCTTTAAATGTGCTGGTGTAGTAAATTTAAGTGAGACAGAGATTTAAAAACTTTTATAACTAGAATAAGAACCAACTTTTTTTTTGAGGTTGTACCAAAGCAGTTTTTAGAGCGGGATCAAAACAGGCTTTCTTATTTTCTTACCAGGAGACACTGCCAGCTGAAAATGATGCAGCTTATCCTCATCTGGAAAACTGGCTTTGCATGTGCCTGGACACGAACGATGTGAGGAAAGAGGAAAAAAAGAGTCATTAGAGTCACATAATAAAACAGAAGCATATTTGCCTTACTGGCAAATAAAGGCATTAAAATCTAAGACATACTGCAATCTGTTCTAACCATAATGTTGATACCGCCTTAATTTGGTGCAGGATTTTTGCCTGTCCCTGTGGCACCATATTCCCCCCTGGTGTTCATGGACAGGTACTACACTTAAAACTATAAAAGAACTCCTCCTTTCATTTGTTTTACTTGCACACTTACCAGTTTTTCGATTAAAATAATAATAATAAAAATAATAATTCCTTTATGTCTTAAAATGACTCCAGACTGCCATCTTCACATTCACATTATATATATATGCAAATGAGCCCCAGCAACATATATAAGTGGTCACTATTGGCTTTGGTCACACACCGTAACACTACTCTGTGCTGCACAATGGAAGTTATAATATCAGAGTAATGCAGACACACACACGAACTAGAAACTCATTCTGAAGAGGATGATCAAATTATACCGGGCTGGCTGCCAGTCAATGCATCAGAATGTTAATATAACGTGTTTCACACATTGCTCCCTGATTAGAAAAGAATTAATGAAACCCTGGTTGTCTGAATCAGTGTCATTAAAGAGCCTATGAGAAATAAAGTGCTCTGCTTGCTCTATGAGAAGATTGCATATTGCATTTAAATACAGCATCAAATTTTTTACAACCTTTCTTCACCTCAAAACATGAAAATGACGTCTTAAAAGCTGCACATAAAAACTTACATAAATGGATCAATAACAACAATAATAATTATTATGTGATGAAGTAAACAGCTACAATTAAGACATGTTTATGAGCGTAAACCTATAGAGAATAAAAATGTCTTCACTGCACGGTGGATGAATCCCAGCTTTCACCTGGACAACAAAACTGCACTCAGTGAAGCCCATCAGTCACGAGTCCTCCTTGTTTTTTTACATCTGATTTGCTTCTTATTTCCCCATCCACCTTCTGTTTAACATACTGCCTTTAACAGGCAAAGCTCTCTGCTTTAAGTGATTCCAAGAAAGTCACAAATATAAAAGTGAAAGACTGTGAACACAAATCTGTCACTGTTCTTCACACGGGTGTTTCTCACTGTGTTCACAGCCGGTTTAATGAATTTAATGAATTCATACTCTTCGAGGTATCTTAGCGTTCATACTGGGACGTAAAGAAAGGATACGTAGTGGTCCATACATATTTAACAAATGAGGTTTGAACACTCGGGAGTTCCTAAAACAGACAGCAATTTGCATCTAAAAAAAAAAACCCAAACAAACAAAAAAACATTGATATGTTTTGATAAAACATTTATCATCCAGACAACAATATAAATCACACACATTTTAAATTTTCTGTAAATTCTGTGAATCTCGGGCAACTCGACTTGAAGTATTTTCAGCTGAGCGCCATGTACCTGAAGTCGAGTGTTTTGACCGATGCATGAAAAGATACATTTTAGATACAAGTTGTAACGGCCGGCATTTTCTTTGTGAGTATTTATTACGGGAAAAAAAGCTTGTTTTAACGTTTAAGGTGTATTTTGAGCACCTGACGGCTCTATTTTGCTTTTCATCCGTAAACTCGCTCCGTACTCTTTTACGTGACTCTTGAGTAGGTGGTAGGGGACCGGTTTTCTGCATAGATTGCATAGTACAGTTTTCTGGTCCGTGTCAGACTTTTCATAACCAAACCATGTCCATGCTACAGAGGTAGCCCCTCATTTAGAAATATGGTCTTTGATTTGTTTTGACTGGTCCTTCTGTTTCTGTTATACTAACATAGAGCCTATAAAACAGGAAGCTCCGTTCTGCCGGAGGTTTCTTCCTGTTAAAAGGGAGTTTTTCCTTCCCACTGTCCCCAAAGGGTCATATGATTGTTGGGTTTTTTTCTGTGTGTATAATTGTAGGGTCTACCTTACAATATAAAGCACCTTGAGGCAACTGTTGTTGTAATTTGGCACTGTATAAATAAATAAAATGTAATTAAATTGAAGGTTGCTGATTGAAAATGTAATAATTAGATCTTTGTAATCAGCAGATTGGATAAAATCTTATTGAACAAAACAGATGCTGAAAAAGCTCAACTTGGGGAGATAATTTGCAGTATAAAAAAGTGAAATATATGTTATTCCAATAGTGAGATGGAAAATCACAATAAAATTGTATCTCGAGTGAAGTATTGAGGTAATATCGTATAGTGGGAAGTCTGGTGATTCCCACCTCTAACATATATTAAATCCTAATAATGTTTTGACACATAAGCCCGGTTTCCATAAATAAAAACTACTTTAAAAAAGCACTTTGCACAGAACATTATTTTATCATTCTTTAATTGTACAGCACAGGTTGCAGAAACATGAATGCCTCCTGCTTCACACTGCTGTTCATCTAAGAGCCGCATGACCTCACAGCAACTGTAGTGATTGTTTGAAAAGCAATTTAAAGAACTCTCAGGTTGTCATATGAGGAAGAGATCAAATAAGCTGCGAACACCTGCTGCAGCAGCGCCTATGTCCAGCAACTACACACTAGTGCTTTTTGGGGCTCTTTGAATTGGGTTTTAAATTTGAATCCCACAAAAACATCTTCTAAGAAAGCCCATCAGTGGTGTTACTTTCCTATTTCCGTGTGCATGACACATTGTTCATTGACCCTCAAGCTACACATCAGTTTCATCAGGCCACAAACAAAAACAAAAAAAGAAGCAACCTGGTCTGAGCCACAGCAAGCATGATGAACTCTGCACTTGTGCATAGCCGTGACCAAAGAAGATCTGATATACTGAGGTGGAAGTTCCCAAATTAAGGCGGGTGCTAAAATAGTAGCCAAGGGTAAAGTCTGTTTGAACAAATACCTCCCCTAAGGGCAGAAATACAGCGAGCAGCAAACGTCTTCAGGCCTGCATCACTTTTGTTTATATTTAAAGACATAAATCACTTGCAGCTTAACACAGAAACATAAGGTCGAACTCGACGAGCTGGCTGAAAATGTCTCTTATCATTTAAAAACATCCACTAGTCTGTCATTTGGACTAAGTAGTCTTCCATGAATCACTCATTTAACAAACATTTTAACCATGAAGTAAAATGATCGTGTTACTGGTTGTTGCTGAATAACTTTGTGGCAATGTAATAACGGCTTAAAGTATGGTTACAAATAGCTTTCACTTAACATTAGCAAAGCAATTTGTCAAAAACAGAGAACGTGAAGCACATCAGAGGCTTAGTTTTTCTTTCCTGCCTCCTTTATACCATAACTGAGGAAATTAAGAGCCAGAAGGAGACTATGAGGATTTATGGCAAATTAGGCCAATTACTCAGTTGTCAGAGTTTCAGCTGCTTTTGACTGGCAGAAAACGTGGAGCTGAAAAAAAATGCTGTGTGTATGAAAGTGCAAGTACTTACTAGGAAGATTGGCTTCAAGTTCGGCAACTTCTGTTGGCAGAAAATAAGAACGAGTGAGACAGCAGCAAAAACACAAAAAAAAAAAAAATAGGCTGAAGAATGAGGCACAGTGTGATATCCTCATACACAAAGAACTCCCACTCCCACACTGGTGTTTTTATAATGAGGTAATGTTTTAGTAGCTGCACTGTCAGGAAAGTTTCTCTGCATAAAACATAAAGTCTAATATGAAATTCATGCACGAAAAAATGTATTTTACATACGGCGCAGTGTAGCAGAGACACACGGCAAGTAACACGGTGGGCCAAAGTAGGAAAAAGGAGACGGGGAGAGAGAAGAGCAACGCAAGAAGGATAAAAGGTTGTTTTGTTCTCGCTGCCAGAGGGCGAGGTCGGGCTGAATTTTTAAAAGCGTTCAGGGTCTGTTGTGTTTTCTCACTACTGACACACTTTTCACTCCTAATTTGTGTCAGCTGGTTTAACACCTTTACCTCCCGGAAAAATACACAACAAAAATACCCGTTGTATTTTTCTTCTCTGGGCAGCTGGTGCTGTTGGTCAGACGTGGCCTGCTGAGAATTTTTACTTTGGTAAATATGCTCTTTGAGATGTGCATAGTCTAATAATTAGGTAATTCAAGGAAGTCGCTGGAGTTTCATCTGTTTCTCCACACAGAATGTGTGTACACAGTAATCTACTTAACAGCTCCCTCGGAGATAACGCCGGCTTACTGTTTTGCCTAAGGAGACCAACGATGGGCTTTTATCAGATTAAGAGTAGCTCACAGTAACAAACTTTGGCCAAAAGTCAAAGTCCTATTCAGATTTTGAAAAATCTTTAATCCATCACCTACAATTTAGGTCACCTGTCCCCAGCTAAGAAAAGCTAAAAGAGACTCCTTCCTTCTGGCTGAAGGTGGGTCTCTCTATATAACTAATATGTGTAAAAACATTTGTGTGAAGTATGTTTTTGGGATGGTTGGCTCTAAATCACCAACTTATACGGTCATGCATTCAACTTTATTTTGCGTCTGTAAACATGATATATTTAAACTATAAAATACCAAAATAACAATAATACAACAAGGACATGTGCAGCCTTTATGTTGGAGGGCTGGCACATGTCTTACTACAACAGTTGGCCTGAAAAGCGTTTTGTTAGTGGAGATAAAGCTTCAGGAGTGTAAGACCAAGGAAATAAGAGTCTGACAGCAGACTGTAAGATTACATGTTTGATAATAACGTCAGACAAATGTGAGTGTGAAAGTTATTTCGAGGCTATTTTCTGTGTTGAAACACAAAATTATTCATTGATCAAGAAACCAATTTGTTTACATTTCTTGGGTTTTATTGTGTTGTCATGAGCTGCAGCTGCTACCATTATTCATGCATGTTTGACTGGCAAAGCTGTCACCTGCTGGGAGTCCCAAAGGGAATGGCATTTGGGTATTTCGCCACGTGATGCTCAAACAAAGATTCTGACTAATTAGATGTATTACCTACAACTAATATTTTAATAAAGTTAATTTCCATGATTCTATGCATGTAACATAAAGAAATAAAGAAAGATCCCTTTGGAGAGATCATCTCTGTGTGCACCTCTGGGCGGCGTCCTGCTATTGCAGAGCCCTCACTGGAAGCCCCATTTTAACCACTTGCACTCTTGCCCTACGATGTTCTGGATCTACTCTCTACTGTGGTCTTCAAGCCTTCTCTCTTTGAAGGCTGCAACTTGTTCAGAATGCTGCGGCTCGCCTTCTTACTGGCACTAGAAAATTTGACCCTATTACTCCGGCTCGTATTGATCTACACTGGTTACCAATCAAATATCGCATTGAGTTTAAAATCTTGCTACTCACTTTTAAAATCCTGAATAACATTGCGCCCAGCTACCTCACTGACCTCCTCAATTTGTACACTCCTTGTCGTGCATTAAGATCATCAGGTCAATTACTCCTGGCCCAACCTAAGTTTAGACTGAAGACCAGAAGTGATTGTGCCTTTGCTTCAGCTGCACCCAATCTTTGGAATAGCCTCCCTGCTTCTACTCGAGCCTTGGACTCTATACAATCCTTTAAATCAAGATTAAAAGCATATCTATTTGACTTGGCTTTCCCGACCAGTTAATACCCTTTTAAATCTTTTAATTTTTAAACTTTTAAATCTTTTATTAGATTTTATTAAATTTATTATTTTTATTAATTTTACTGCTATTTTTGTCTTCTTAGCATATTTTGTATTTATCTAACTCTCCTGGTCTGTTAGTGCCTCTATCCTGTCTGTGCTAGTGCCCGATTTGTACCCTGTTATTGACTTATGTTGACTCTCCATATTACTGTGAAGCACTTTGGTGTGCCTTCGGGTTTTTAAATGTGCTATATAAATAAAATTGTATTGTATTGTTGTATTGTATCTACTTTACTGTGTCTAAAACAAGCCTTCAACCAGAGTTTCAAGTTGAGGAGGAAGACGAAGTTGTAGAGCGCAGAGCAGGTGGCCAGTCTCACCTAAGGGCATGCCCATTTATAGGTTTAAACTAGAGGTTTAAAAATTGCTGCTATCGCTAGTCAACATTCAAATGCTAAACAGTTAAAGTACCTCTCTCCTATTTTATTACTAAACACTTGTTGTTGCCCATTGTTTCTGAAATGCTATAAGTTCAAGGGCTACAACCCAAAATGTAAAATGTGATTTGATTATTTAAGAACATGATTAAGTGTTTCTAACAACTCTTGAATACACACGTAATATCAGAGGAGACAGCATTGAACCTCGTCCTTACGCTCAACTCGGATTTCCGAGCGTGCACTACTATGACACGAGTCAGTCAGACTGTGTTCTGCCATTTAAAAACATTAGTAAATTAGCCTTAAGGAGCATCCCTAGTATTCATGGCGCTCTGCACAGTGAATGTTTTGTCTCTGTGGTCAGAGCCAGAGAGAGAGCTAACATACAAGTGACTCTCACCCTAACCAGTGAGCACAAATGCTGGGACAGACTCCAGCCACTTCGTCAAGCTAAGATAGAGAAACAGTTAAGAAGAAGGGAGGGAGGAAGGAAGGAAGGAAGAAAGGAAGGAAGGAAGGAAGGATGGAGGAATGGATTATATTCACAAGAGGAAAACTGTTGCAACCTTGTTGAAATCTTGTTTTGTTCCTGTAATAAAAAAAAGGGAAACTGAAACTGAAAAATGGACCAAATTATAAAATACCAGGGTACCTTTGGTAAGGAGGCGGTCTCTGATTGAGACCCTGTGGGTGGAGTCTGAGGCTCCGGAGGCACGGCCTGTCTTTCCTCCGTCTTCTTTCTTCAGCTTACTGGCCAACGTGAGCATGGCTACGCTGATGTGATATGACTGTCAAAACCACGGTGCACCGTGCTGCAATGCACTGCTGCTCAAATGCCTGCAAACAACACAGAGCATACAGAATAAAATGCTCAGTTACACCATACTGCATAACACACAGATGCAGATGCATTATAAGGTAGTCATACAGCAGTCAAATAATCCTGAATTACACGAGGGAGTCTGTGTTTTCATTACAAATAGATACAGTGGGGCAAAAAAGTATTTAGTCAGCCACCGATTGTGCAAGTTCCCCCACTTAAAATGATGACAGAGGTCAGTAATTTGCACCAGA